GCTCTCGCTCGAGACTTCCTCGCAATTCAATCAAGTTGGGGCCCAGCCATGATGACAAGGGCTCCTGGTTGATATTTCCTCACGATTTACTCCGAAAGCCCCTGGTCAGGAAGGCCCCCGATCTCAGGAATGGCGCTCCGTCTCGAGACGTTCTCCTGATCCAATCAAATGGGTGGAGGCCCAAATGCGACGACAAGGGCTCTCGTTCGATACTTCCTCAAGATGTATGCGCAGAGGCCCTTGCAAGAGAGGCCCCCGAAATTAAGACTGGCGCTCTCGCTCGAGACGCCCTTGTCATTCAATCAATTTGGTGCGGGTCAAGCCACGACGACAAGGGCTCTCGTTCGTTGTTTCCTCAAGCTGTACTTCGAGAGCCCGTGGCCCGAGACTGCAATTCAGTAGCGGCGCCGGAGGCCCACCTGCGACGACAGGGGCCGTCTTAGTACTCCTACACGGCCTGGCCACAGAGGCCCCTAAACCACGAAGGCCCCAGCGCGCTGCTCAATGAGGCCTTCGGACACAGCCCGCAAAAGCTCCAAGCGCGCCCACAGGGGCCCCAGCACGCTGCCCACTGATGCCTTCGGACACAGCCCACAAAGGTCCCGGCGCGCTGCCCACTGATGCCCCCAACACACAACCCACTCTACAGAGTAAGCCCACATGGACCGTAGCATTCTGCCATGAGGCCCTCCGGCACAGCCTACATAGGCGCCATGCGCCCACAGAGCTCCCCCGCGCTGCCCATGGAGGCCCCAAGCGCGCTCACAGAGGGCCCAGCGCGCTGCCCCCAGACACAGCCCACAGAGGCCCCAGCCCTCAGAGGCCCCAAGCGCGCCCACAGAGGCCCCAAGCGCGCCCACAGAGGCCCCAGCGCGGTGCCCACTGAGGCTCTCGACACAGCCCACAAAGGCCTAAGCCCCCGCCCCAAGCGTGCCCACGGAAGCCCCAGCGCGCCGCCCACTGAGGCCCCCCGTTCCACAGAGGCCCCACGCGCGCCCACAGAGGCCCCAGCCCACAGAGGCACCGAGCGCGCCCACAAAGGTCCCCGCGCGCTGCCCACTGAGGCCCTCCGGCGCAGCCCACAGAGGCCTCAAGCGCGCCCACAGAGGCCCCCAGCCCGCAGAGGCCCCAAGCGCGCCCACAGAGGCCCCAGCGCGCTGCCCACTGATGCCCTCCGACACAGCCCACAGATGCCCCGAGGGTGCCCACGGAAGCCCCAGCGCGCTGCCCACTGAAGCCCTGGCTTTTACAGAGCGCCCACAGAGGCCCCGGACTACAGAGGCGCCAAGCGCGCCGAGCACTGAGGCCCCCCGTTCCACAGAGGACCCAAGCGTGCCCACAGAGGCCCCAAGCGCGCCCGCAGAGGCCCCAGCGCGCTGCCCACTGAGGCCTGCCCACTGAGGCCCCCCGACAACGCCCACAGAGGCCCCACGCGCGCCCACCGAGGCCCCAGCCCACAGAGGCCCGGAGCGTGCCAGCCCACAGAGGCCCCAAGCGCGCCCACTGAGGCCCCAGCTCGCAGAGGCCCCAAGCGCGCCCACAGAGGCCCCGACGCGCTGCCCACTGAAGCCCCCGACACAGCCCATGGAGGCCCCAGCCCACAGAGGCTCCAAGCGCGCCCGCAGAGGCCCCAGCGCGCTGCCCACTGAGGCTCCCCAGCGCAGCCCACGGCGGCCCTAAGCGCGCCCACGGAGGCCCCAGCCCGCAGAGGCCCCAGGAACAGCGCTGTCGCATGAGAATTCTTCGCAATTCAATCAAGTTCGCGGATGCCCAGCCGCGACGACAAGGCTCCCGCTGGATACTTCCTCGCGATTTACTCCGGGAGGCCCTTGCCAGAGAGGTTCTTGAACTCAGGAACAGCGCTCTCGCTGGAGACTTCCTGGCAACTCGGTCAAACTAGTGGGGGCGCAGCTGCGATGACAAGGGCTCCCGCTCGATGCTCCCTTGCGACTTGCTCCGAGAGGCCCTTTCTTCGGGTCCATGCTTCTCTTCCCCCATCCGTCCCCCCTTCCCTTGTTTTAGGGGCTGCGCTAAATGTGCGTGGCAAGTAAGGAAATATACCCCGAGGGGGTAATTCGAAGACAAAGAGGGCGGGTATCGAGGGTTTGGGATATACGCGTTGCGTGGCACGCGATCGAATAAGAGCAAACAGTCTTAAACTGATTGTTGGTATTGTTGTCGTGGTTGTTGAAAGTTAATTATTAAGCAATGTATATTGTTGGACCCCCCCAGGCGCTTTGACGCCCTCGCTTCGGCGCTGGCTAGATTTTCATTGAATATGAGGCTCACGCTCGAGCGGCTTGGGGGGGCGCCCAAACCGGCCCCCCAACAACAACAACAACAACAACAACAACAACAACAACAACAACAACAACGCCCCGCTCGATCATTCCTCCTTTTTTGCACAGGGCCGGTGCTCTTGCTCACCGCCGAAAGCCGCCGTCCCAACAACACCAGCGCTACCGCTCGAGACTTCCTCCCGTTTTACTTTGGACTGGCGCGCTACTCTTTCTCTCATCCGCGCCGCCCCCAGCAACAACAACGCTCCCGCTCGAGACTTCCACCCTTTTTTTACTCAAGGCGGTGCTCCTTCTCGCCGCGGGAAGCCGCCGCTCTGACAAAACCAGCGCTCCCGCCCGAAACTTCCTCCCTTACGCTGGATACTATTTTTTGAAGTGGCGCCGCTCCCATCAAGAACCACGCTCCCGCTCGAGGCTTCCTCCCTTTTTCTTCAGGACGGTGCTTTTCCTCGACGCTGACAGTCTCCGTCCCGACAACCACGGCTCCCGCTCGAGGCTTCTTCCCTTTTTGCTCAAGGCGGTGTTCCTCCTCGCCGCCGACAACCGCCGTCCCAACAAAACCAGCGTTCCCGCTCGATATTTCGCTTTGTTTTGAGCTGGACTAGCGCCCAACTCTCTTCAGCATTGGCGCCGTTCCCAGCAACAGCATCGGCCCTGCTCGAGACTTCCTCCCTTTCTGTTCAGGGCCAGGTCCTTGCCTCGCCGCCGACAGCCCCATCCCCACCAAGGCAATCCCGTCGCTCGATATTTCCTTGTGCTTTACCCTTGGCTGGGACTCCACAGTGCGGTCTCGCATCGGTGCTGCGAGGCGCGGGCATGCGTTTTCGAGGCGGGATAGATTGAACTTCCTCGGAGGAGGTGTTTGCAAGGCCTCCTTGGGCGGAACATCTGGGGATGGGAATGACGGGCCCCGCTATAGAGCAACAGTCCCCCATGATAGGGGATGGTTCTCATGATGGTCGCATGCTTCGTGTGGAAACACGGCGCATGAAGGTACAATGATTGTTGTTGTTGTTGTTGTTGTTGTTGTTGTTGTTGTTGTTGTTGTTGTTGTTGTTGTTGTTGTTATTGTTGCTGCTGTTGCTGTTGTTGTTGTTGTTGTTGTTGAACTCTCTTTTCTGAAGATAATTATTGTTGATCCCCCCCGTCTGGTGCGCATTGTCTTTTCTCGATTGAAATGCCTTTCCCGGGGCTTGCACCCTGTTTTTTTATCAGGGAAAGGCTTGAGGGTAAAACTGTGTCGTTGGCCCCCGGGTTACAACAACAACGGTTCCCGCCTGAGACTTCCTCACAATTTAGCCAGGAAGCTCCCGCCCGAGACTTCTTTGCATTTTATTCAGGAATCGCGCTCTCGCTTGGGACTTCCTTACAATTTCTCTGGAATCGCTCTCCCGGCGCTCTGGAGTCGCGCTCTCGCTGGAGACTTGCTTACGCGTTATTGGACACTCGAGCGTATAAGGGCGAATTGTCTTAAAATTGTTGTTGTTGTTGTTGTTGTTGTTGTTGTTGTTGTTCTTGTTGTTGTTCTTGTTGTTGTTGTTGTTGTTGTTGTTGTGGTTGTGGTTGTTGTGGTTGTGGTTGTGGTTGTGGTTGTGGTTGTGGTTGTGGTTGTGGTTGTGGTTGTGGTTGTGGTTGTTGTTGCTGTTGTTGTTGTTGTTGAACATTATTACTTCTAAAGAATAATTATTGTTGGGGCCCCTGGTGCACGACCCCCCCGCCGCGCCTAGGCCGCAGCCTCATTTTCATCATTTTCGTGAGGAAGTCTCAGGCAAAACGGGTTGGTCCGGATCCGGTTGTGTTGTTACGATCGGTTTTCCCTTGCAAAAAATAAGCTAAAGTGGACATTTCTTGTTCTAACATAACCAAACTTCAAGAATCCCTTGCAAAAAAATAAGGTAAAGTGGACATTCGCGCGCGCAAGACGAAATCCTTCCAAAACCTTAGTTTTCGTAGCGATTTTAACATAAAAACATAAAAAACAATGGTTTTTCAAAAAAAAATGTCAAAATTTCATCCCGCGCGCTCTTGCGGATTCGTAGGAAACCCAACACTTTTTAAACATTTCTGTCAAACGGGCTTTTGCGAGCAACTTTTTCGAACTTCTGCAACAACGGTTGCGCACCTGCCAGGGCCATCATCCCTGTCAAATAATACCATGCGGGACACATTCGTTTTTTCTTCGCGCGCGCACGCCGTCGTCGTCGGCCGCGGGGCCCTGAATAGTAGCCACGGTCGTCCGCATGCCACGAAGTGAAGTGTCCGAACGTCATAGGGCGGGAAGCTGGGTGTGGGTGGTGGCGAAGAGTCGTTTGGAAATTTGGTAGAGCTTGAACCGGCCCCCCCACAAAGTGGGGGTATTGCCCGCCTCCTATGAAAACCCTGGCACTGGTGAGAACGGAGTGTCCCCACGTGCTAGTAATTGTTGTTGTTGTTGTTGTTGTTGTTGTTGTTGTTGTTGTTGTTGTCGTTGTTGTTGTTGTTGTTGTTGTTGTTGTTGTTGTTGTTGTTGTTGTTGTGGTTGTGGTTTTGGTTGTGGTTGTGGTTGTGGTTGATGTCGTTTGGTGCTGTTGTTATCTGGTATCGGGCGGGCCCGAGCCCAGTCTACTCGAGCCGCCGTCTTGCCTCCTGCTTCCACCTGCCTCTTCCCACTGGCGGCTCACGCTCCTGGCCTCCAGGCGTGCTCTTGCTGCCGATCCCCAGGCCGCCCTCGGCTCCGCGGGCGCTGGCCGATGCCTGGCCCTGCCGGCCCCGCCGCAGCCGAGCGACCCGCCCGCCCGGCGGGCGAGCCTGCGACCCAACGCCAAGAAGCGCGCCGCGCCGGCGGCGGCGCCGCCGCAGAAGAACGGGAGCACCCCGGCGATCCCAGACGTATCCTCCTTCTCCTCCTCCTCCACCTCCTCCTCCTCCTCCTCCTCCTCCTCCTCCTCCTCCTCCTCCTACTCCTCGTCCTCCTCCTCCTCCTCCTCCTCCTCCTCCTCCTCCTTGGTGAGTGTGCTCCTCCTTCTCCTCCTCCTCCTCCTGCTTCTGCTCCTGCTCCTCCTCCTCCTGCTCCTCCTCCTCTTCCTCCTCCTCCCTTCCTCTCCGTTCTGGGGGGAGGGGGCGTGCCAGCTGCGTTGTCATCTCGACGGCCAGCCCAGGGGTGAAGTGAGAAGGGGCGGGCCTTGTCGGAAGGCCTGGACGTCCCCTGGCCTTCGGAGAAGTTCCCGAGGCCTCCCCTGAAGGCGCAGAGTACTGCTCAGAAGGCCGAAGGGGCTTCGGAGTTGCCCTTTCGGGCTTCTAAGAAGGCCTCCTCCTCCTCGCTTCCCCCCCGCGCTCGCCGCCGATCCCAGGCCCCGCATCTCTCTGTTGAGCTTTCGTCGGTCCTCTCGTCCTGGGATGCTTGCCGGCAGCTGCGGGCTCGCCGACAGCGTGCCGAGGATGCCGGAGTCGTCCTCACGGGGCCGCCGCAGGCCCAAGCTACGGCACGAAAGCCGAGCCCTTCGCGTCGCGAACAAAATCGCGACCAGCGGTTTCCGCCTTTTTCGGGTTCCGGGAGCACTCGCTGGGCCTAGGGGTCGTTCAAGAACGATTCGGAATGAGAAGCTGGACCTGGGGAAAAAGGGTCGAGACTTCCGAGCTCAAGTCTCAAATCTCCGACGATTTGCACTCTCCAATTTCTGAGATCCGGGCGTTGCAATGTTTCACACCGGGCGTTCTCACCCAGTCTCGAGCCCCAGGACACTTAAAGATCGATCTGGCTCGAAACATGGCACAGAAAGATGGGGTCTAGGGCTCTGGTGATGATTGTTCGCGATGTTGCATTTTTTTCGCGGCGTCGGATCTCAGGGACCCCTCAGGGGAGGCAGAAGGTACCAATATCGCCGCTCGTTCCGGAGAGCCCTCGTCTCCACGGCTTCCTCGAAATCCTGGTCAGGAGGCACCGTGCCGATGTCGGACCCTCTCGCGAGGCAGCGTTATCGTCGATCTCGCCAGGGCGTGTGGGTGTGTGGGATCTGAGGACAACCCTTGTGTTAGGATGCATCGCCTGGGAGGTTAAGTTCAGCATTGGCGCTGGTAATTATCCGTAAGGGCTTCGCCCCCTGCCGCCGGCCCCCTCTCTCGGATAATGGGCAATGCAAGAGCGAAATCATTAGGCCTTGGCGCCGCCGTGAAGCAGCGTCGGGACTTCACGCGAAGACGATGAGTAATCGGCAAGACAAATTGAGATTCTGATGATTTTGTTGGAGTCGGTGTTGTATTTCGAGCTTCCTCGCGTATGCTGTGCAAAAAGATGTCCTACGAAGTATTGAAATTTTGCAAATCCCATGTGTTGTTTGACCCTGACCCCACCGATCTGCGTGAGGGGTGCCACCGAATTTCAAGACATGTGGCAAATCCCATGTGTTTTTCGACCCTGACCCCGCCGATCTGCATGAGGAGGGCCACCGAATTTCAGAAATGTGGAAAATCACATTGTTTTGGGACCCTGACCCCGCCTACCTGCGTGAGGGGGACCACGGGACCACCGAAGTTCAAGACATGTGGCATATCCCATATGTTTTTCGACCCTGACCCCGCCGATCTGCAAGAGGGGTGCCACCAAGTTTTAGAAACGTAGCAAATGCTTTGTGTTTTTGGACCCTGACTCCGCCGATCTGCGTGAGGGGTGCCACCGAATTTCAGACATGTAGCAAGTTCTATATGTTTTTGGACCCTGACCCCGCCGATCTGCGTAAGAGGTGCCACCGAACTGCAGAAATGTTGCAAATCCTATGTGTTTTTAGACCCTGACCTTGTTGATCTGCGTGAGAGGTGTTGCCGACTTTCAGAAATGTTGCAAATCCCTTTGGTTCTTGGTCCCTGACACCGCCGATCTGCGTGAGGGGTGCCACCGGATTTCAGAAATGTGGCAAATCCTTTGTGTTTTTGGATCCTGCTCCCGCCGATCTGCGTGAGGGCCCCAGAAGTTCTGAGACCCCTCCCTGGAGGTGCTAACCAGAGCGGTTTTCGGCTCCCCCCCCTCGCGCGGTCTACAACAAGGAACAGTAAGCAACAAGAAGCAGAACTGTAACAGTAAAAACTGGAAACTGGAACTGGTGCAGGGAACAGCAAACCCTGGTGGCCGCACAAGGGGGCCGGCGGGTATCCGTGGTCGAAATCTGGTCCAATTTGGTTTCACCTTTTTTTACCCCGCTTAGCCAATTCCGTTTCGCTCAGCTCAATACCTCGACTAATCCGGCCCAGTGGCCTTCCAATCGGTCATCAGAGCCTTGGAATCGTTCTCACGAAGACCTCCCAGGAGTTGCTTCCTTATTGGACACCCCCGCTTTGCTTCCAACCTCCCTGCAGGAGGGCCACCCTGGTGCCTGGCCGCGGGAGCTTGCGAAGCCACAGGTCAGCATCGTCTCATCGATCCCCATCCCCAGGAGGAAGAGCGAGAATGAGGGAGGGAGGAGGAGGAGGAGAACAGCTGCAAATCCAAGACGCAATGGCATCTCATCCCCACCATGTCATTCGACAATGCAGGCCCGTGACACCCGAAGGGAGCAACCCATGGCGTGTTCTGGGAACCCTGACGCCCAAAAAGTTGGCACCTCTCTGGGACGTTGTTTCGTTTTTGTTTCTTCTGCCTGCTTCCGCCTGCGGAGCCGCCGCGGTTTCGCTTCCGCCGCCTTCCGCCGCGGAAGAGATGCCACTTCCTTCGGCCCTCGAAGACGAGGCCGCTTCTGGCACGCCCCAGAGATCTTCACTCACCCAGACGATGCCATCTGTCGGGCAAGGAAGGCCCACCCAGAGGAGCCGACCGAGGAACTCTGCGCTGGCTCGCTCGACACTCGCATGCGGGTGTGCTGCTGCAGTCCCCCGTCGAGTTCGCGCTCCTCCGGGCACACTCTGCTGATCCTGGGCGTCCATTAGCAGAGCCCCGCCGGGGCCCACCGACTGGGAGAACGCGGTGCCTTGCGCCCGCGGGGTGCCCCTGGCAGCTTTCATCCAACGGCGTGTTGAGGAAGGGCGTGCTGCCAACGTTCGGACCTGCCCCCCCCCCCCCCTGGAGAAGTGATGCCACTTTCAAGGGAAACGGCTGATGGCCGTCTGCTCTATTCTAAATCCCGTTCCGACGCCGACACCCTGCCGGGAATTCCGCTGCAGGTCGTGCCGAAGAATCGTCCAGAGGTCTTCCCACGGGGTAGGTTTTCATCCCCGGCCCGTCTCCGATGGCCCGGGGGCCCAAACGCAGCCCCCATGGGGCCAACAACGAGGGCAAGCCGAAGACGAGGAAAGCGCGCCTCGACGCGCACGCAGCTGCATTCGTGTTCCCTCGGCCCGCCCGTGCCGTGCGTGCATGCGAGCAGCCCCACCCTGTCTTCGTACACGTCGTGGTCACCCGCGGCCTACGCAGGGGTTTTCTAGGCCTTTCTTGTACACCGCGCCTTGGATCTCCCGACGTCGTTTCGGCTCCCTCTCCTCGCCCACCTCCTCCTTCCTCGGACTCGTTGGTGTCTCATGTGGGTGCAGCATCCCGTCCCCGCAGCCGGCCGGTCCCGAGAGGCCATTGCGAAGCGTTTCCCGACACGCGTGCCCGGAAGCTCTAAAACAGGGCTAGGATCGGGATAAATCGCTCCAGAGCGTTCCGGAGCGCTCTCAGAGCGTTCCGGAACGCTCTGGAGCGGCCGCGGCGCCCAATACATCCTCCAAACCCGCCGATTCTCAGAGATTTCGAGTTATCCCGATCCGATTTTGTCCCGATCTTCGCGTCGTTTTAACCTCGCCAGAAGGTCTTTCGGAAGCTCTCTCCGGGTCCTTCCAGGGTTCTTTCGACGAGTCTCTCCACGCCCTGTGGGCGCCCTGCTGTCCGGAATTTGGGACCCCGACGAGAGTGTGGGTGGCGCATCCCTTTCCCACAGAGGGCATCGTGCCGGACACGGGGGGGGCTCTGCGCAGCGCGAGGTCGATGCGCGCGCAACGTGGCGTGCGTTCGTGCAGCGAGCTCGGTGCATGCAGGGGGGGCCCATGCCAAGACGCACTCTGCTGGCCTCCAGGGTGCCCAGGGCTTCTCGGGATTCGATGGTTCTGCGATGGAAAGCGTGACGTTCCCACACCAAAAATCAATGGACGGGTTGGCTTGGGTTTCTTGTGGAAGGTCTCTTGTGGTCGGCCCCCTATTGTATTTTAACTTTCTTCCCGCGCTTTTCAAGCTGACGTGTGGGCCAGTTGGCAGGTTGCTGACGCGCTCTCTCCCTCTCCTACAGGAGAAACAGCTGCATTGCACGTCCAGTGCAGTGCAGGGGGGAAGCGTCGGCCAGTGTCAAGGGGGGAAACACCCCCACCTCCACAATGGTCGTTTACGGAACGGCCCTGGGCGTTTGCTGAACAGCATTGCCTTGTTCGATTCCTGCCTTGGGTGCGTTTACTGCACGGCCTCGTTTGTCTGGGTGGTCCTTCTGCAGGTGCTTTATTTTGCTCTCTACAGTGGGCCAAGTCGGGCCGGACGAAAGGGTAGGGTTCCCGCCCCACCGCCGGGCCCGTCTACATGAGCTGATTCTCTATCCTGCCGTTTTGCTGTCCGGCCCTTTCCATGAGATCCGACGGCGCGAACAAACATTAGACATCGACCAAAGAATACGACCCGAGCCCCAGACCCCGTGTTCCCGCCCCATGGTCCCACTGTTCGAGCCGCGTCGATCCGTGAGGGCCCCATGGGCCCGAGACCTGGCGAGGAG